TAAAATTATTTTAATCAGAATAAAGCAAATAAATTCAGATTTCTTAATTTTTACGAATTTACATTAAAATCTTTTACAAATTTATTTAAAAAACAAGAAAATCAAACTAAAATGTTTGAATTTTTGATGAAAATTACTGAGAAGAAAGCATTCAATAATAGATTTTTATATTTATTTACTATAAGCTTATAATTAAATATATTATTAAATTAAATTCACGTATTTTATGTAATTTTTATATTTAAAATACTTAAAACTTTACAGGAAGTAATTACAGAATATCAAGAGAAAATGTCAAGTTATAAAGTAATTTTATTCACCTGTCAAAAATTCAATAACTCTGACATTAAGAAATTCATTCTACTACAAATTAAGGTTAATTTTCTGTAGTAAAAAATAAATAAATAAAATATTTTAAAATTTCATATAAAATTTATTAAATTATCCTAATTAATATTAAAGAATTATTATAGTAAAATAGACAGAAACATACAGTTTTAATTTGTTTACATTTATAGATTTAATAATAAATTTTCTCCTTAAAAATTCCTAATTATTTCATATTAATTATAAGTATACAAATTTTTAATATTTTTCGAATAAAATCCATAAAATGTATAAAATTTTCTTCTGAATATATTTTATTTTTAATTAATTAACAAGGTAATGCACGCCAACCAGTGAATAAAACTGTGAACACTGGTTGATCGTAGGTTCATCCCTTGCCAACAGATGGGTCACATGAAGTTTAGCTGGTTTCTTCACGTTTATAACACCTAAATAAGGACCAGTTTCCTGTAGAAAGTCCTCCTGGGAGGCACCTCCTCGGCAGATCGCCCACGTGTCGCATTGTCGTATGCAAACAAACCATGGAATGTATACATCATTAAGACTTTAGGTGTTGAAAAATGATATGTAGGCCTATATATAAAGTATAGTAAAATTCTTTAGAGGACACTATTAATAATAACGAATAATATATTGAATGTCACAATTATAAGTGACAAGAATCACTGAAGTGAAGATGAAACCTTGACATTCACACAAAAGTATTATTGTCTTCAAGAATAATATTCTTTATCTGTTTAACAATACGATTTTGACAGTTTGACAAGGATAAAATTCCCATTTCTGTTAAAAAATTTCTTATAAATACCCTCTTTCTCCATCGAAAATGTCTAAACACGTCAACGTCATCATCTAAATGGCTTCTAGATTAAGCATCTTCATTGTACTTCTCTCGGGTTTGTTGGAGTAAGTAACTTCCTCAGTTATCTATTAATATAGGCCCTATACGTGTTAATTCCTAAAAAATTAATTAAAAACTAAATTATTTTAAGTGTTGGGAGAACATTGACTTGTATACCCTGTGAAGAAGCAACGTGCATTAATAAAACTGAAGAAGAATGTCCAGTTGGTACAGTTTATAACACGTGTGGATGCTGTAAAGTCTGCGCTAAGGTGAGCCACAAAACAACCATAAACATAGATTTTTACATAATATTTTTAACATTGAACATTGAACGTGTGGTTCCAGAATGTCGGTGAAGTATGTGATGGACCTTATAAAGTGTATGGTCAGTGTGGAAGAGGTCTGATATGCGTCAAACCATCCCCACCTCCTGGAATTGATAGCTTTCTACATTATTTTAATATTGAAGGTATCTGTCAAGTAAACAATGAAACACTTTAAAAATATATATAATTAATTAAATTTTTAAAAAATAAAAAAAAGTAATTATAATTAAAAAATAATTAATACTTTTCCACAGACAAGACAGCAATTACACTTATCGAGCACAAGACCAGCAGGACAATCGCTGTCTTTCTTTTTTTGACAATGGTTTTTATCACATCTTGGACATTTACGTGTTTCCACACTGTATATAATTAAACATATTTTTAGAGAAAGCATAATTTATGTATATTTTAACGAAGAAACAACATAAAATTACCATAACAAAAGTCCAGCACAGAAGAAAATGCATAAGACAATCCTACTCATCTTTCTGCAATGATACGTTACTTGTATACTTATGCTTTAATTTTGCTTCTTAAAATATAATTTTTATACGTGAAATTAATTATAAATTAAGCTCACAATTAAAAATATACTGTATGTACTGTACATCTCTAGTTTAATTTTTCTATTATTAACAATGTCTTATAATTCTAACCTCATCAGCAAATCCTATAAATTTAACCATATGAATAATCTCTTCTAATTAATATTACTGTTGCTATAGTTATAAGCTATTTAATTATATCCTTATGGATAATTTATCCTTATATTCTAGCCTTATAGATAGGAACATGTGATAACCAAACTTTAGTATTTTTGTCTATAAATAACATCATAACTCAAACCTACACTCAGTATGATTAACATATGCATTAAAATTAACCTTTAAAATAGAATATTAGAAAGAAATTTTTATTAAAAATTCAATTTAGAAATTAAAGCTAAATATTTACAGTTTTTACAGGATCCTGAGGAAAATATTCAAAGTTATACAGCTTTAGTAAGCTTATCCTTGCATATATATATATAGCCTGTCATTCTACAGTCATTATAAATTCTACCAGCTGTTTACTAATAACAGAAATTAAGAAAGGAAAATAGTAAAATTAATTCATTTTTAAGCATATGAACTAAATAATTTATATAATTTATTAAATGTAAAGTTTTAACTATGTTTTCCTGAGGTTACTGATGACAAGAAACAGCTGTTGCAAGTTATATCAAGCCATAAAAATTTTACATGAAGAAACATTATCCATCGACATAAAAATTGCAATTTTCGAAATTATTTTATTTAAAAATTTTAAAAATTCTAATTAAAATTCATCATTTTAATTACTTTAACTTACTTTTTTACATTGATACTCTCCCAAGTCAATTCATTATTTCAAATTTGAATGGTCTTCCTGTAAAAAAATAAAATTTTATTCAATAATAAAATTAACATTTACTAAATTTTAAAGTTTGATATAAAAATTAAAGAGCTTTCTTTTTAAGAATAATATTATAAATTCGTTTAATTAGGTTTTTATCCTCATCTCTAATAATTACTTATATAAATGGCTCTTAAATTAATTTTTTAAAGTTAAATTCTATTCACTAAATACCGGTAATAAAATGACTTTTTAATTATTAAAAACTAATCTATAATTTAAAAAATTGGTGTATGAAAATTAATTTTATCTCAAAATTCAGCTGATATGGCAAAAATAATGCACAAACCCCTTAAAGATGTTTCTGTTGNTAAAATTATTTTAATCAGAATAAAGCAAATAAATTCAGATTTCTTAATTTTTACGAATTTACATTAAAATCTTTTACAAATTTATTTAAAAAACAAGAAAATCAAACTAAAATGTTTGAATTTTTGATGAAAATTACTGAGAAGAAAGCATTCAATAATAGATTTTTATATTTATTTACTATAAGCTTATAATTAAATATATTATTAAATTAAATTCACGTATTTTATGTAATTTTTATATTTAAAATACTTAAAACTTTACAGGAAGTAATTACAGAATATCAAGAGAAAATGTCAAGTTATAAAGTAATTTTATTCACCTGTCAAAAATTCAATAACTCTGACATTAAGAAATTCATTCTACTACAAATTAAGGTTAATTTTCTGTAGTAAAAAATAAATAAATAAAATATTTTAAAATTTCATATAAAATTTATTAAATTATCCTAATTAATATTAAAGAATTATTATAGTAAAATAGACAGAAACATACAGTTTTAATTTGTTTACATTTATAGATTTAATAATAAATTTTCTCCTTAAAAATTCCTAATTATTTCATATTAATTATAAGTATACAAATTTTTAATATTTTTCGAATAAAATCCATAAAATGTATAAAATTTTCTTCTGAATATATTTTATTTTTAATTAATTAACAAGGTAATGCACGCCAACCAGTGAATAAAACTGTGAACACTGGTTGATCGTAGGTTCATCCCTTGCCAACAGATGGGTCACATGAAGTTTAGCTGGTTTCTTCACGTTTATAACACCTAAATAAGGACCAGTTTCCTGTAGAAAGTCCTCCTGGGAGGCACCTCCTCGGCAGATCGCCCACGTGTCGCATTGTCGTATGCAAACAAACCATGGAATGTATACATCATTAAGACTTTAGGTGTTGAAAAATGATATGTAGGCCTATATATAAAGTATAGTAAAATTCTTTAGAGGACACTATTAATAATAACGAATAATATATTGAATGTCACAATTATAAGTGACAAGAATCACTGAAGTGAAGATGAAACCTTGACATTCACACAAAAGTATTATTGTCTTCAAGAATAATATTCTTTATCTGTTTAACAATACGATTTTGACAGTTTGACAAGGATAAAATTCCCATTTCTGTTAAAAAATTTCTTATAAATACCCTCTTTCTCCATCGAAAATGTCTAAACACGTCAACGTCATCATCTAAATGGCTTCTAGATTAAGCATCTTCATTGTACTTCTCTCGGGTTTGTTGGAGTAAGTAACTTCCTCAGTTATCTATTAATATAGGCCCTATACGTGTTAATTCCTAAAAAATTAATTAAAAACTAAATTATTTTAAGTGTTGGGAGAACATTGACTTGTATACCCTGTGAAGAAGCAACGTGCATTAATAAAACTGAAGAAGAATGTCCAGTTGGTACAGTTTATAACACGTGTGGATGCTGTAAAGTCTGCGCTAAGGTGAGCCACAAAACAACCATAAACATAGATTTTTACATAATATTTTTAACATTGAACATTGAACGTGTGGTTCCAGAATGTCGGTGAAGTATGTGATGGACCTTATAAAGTGTATGGTCAGTGTGGAAGAGGTCTGATATGCGTCAAACCATCCCCACCTCCTGGAATTGATAGCTTTCTACATTATTTTAATATTGAAGGTATCTGTCAAGTAAACAATGAAACACTTTAAAAATATATATTTTTTAATTTTAATAAAAGTCAAATTTTATATAACTGTTTGTTTTATTAGTAAAATAAAAAATAATTATGTTTATGCGGTCCATTAGTGGTCGAGTGGATAAAACACTAATAGTTGATCACGTGTTCGCGCCTGTCACGTGGAGGTTTCCGGATTTTCTTCACGTGTTTATAAAATATAATCTATGTGAGTAACATTGAAATATATACATGTATAAATGCATGCTAATACTCACACATATCACAAGTACATCCCTTCAGGTGGTGTTTTGTGTGAGACCTTTTACTCCTAAATATGTGTATCCTGTTCATTATAACGCTTAAAAATTGGTAGAAATTTTTAAAAACTAACCTTTTGCATACTTGGAGGAGAATCAGGGTCCAAATTCGATTCAAATACCCATTTACAACCGATAGTATGGATAGAAGCATTGATACTACGTATCTAATTTCAATGTTAATGCTGCATTGAGTCACGTTTTTGCTTGTAATAGGTTTAATTATGACTGGTCATATGATCTCGTGTTAACTAATCAATGAATCTTCGTGTACGATGTACAAATGTACGCGTAGTTTAGGAAATTAATTTAAATTTTACAATTTTTAGAATTAACAGCTTTAATTTTATAAAGATTGAGCGTAATCTTTAAATTTAAAACAAATATTTACACACTTCCTGGATTATGTTTAAAAATATATTCAAATTAGGTTAAACCTCATGAAATTTTCGTGATATTTTGAAGAAAAAATATGGTTTATTTCTTCTAAAAATGTATTTGTTTTTCATGTATGCAGCGATTTTTCAAAACGGCGGAGGGTCATTTTACGATTCAAAATGGCGGCTTACTCACAAAAATAGCGGAGATAATTCACTTTTCCAAACATATTACTTTGATTTTCCTTAATATAAGCTAAAATGTTTTCTTAAAATTATAAACAATTGCTATTTTAATGTAAATAAGATATTAATATATAAATGTGCTTTAAAATATTACTACATAGAGAGTTTTAATGTTTTAAAGCTCCGTAAAAGAATTTAAACGGGCTATGTTAAATAAATCTATAACATATATAAAAACTTTTTCGAATAAATGTAATTTTTAAAACACTTAAATTGTGAAAAAAATTACAAATAAATCTACGTCATCATTTGTTATGGCAACGCACACCATTTCGAACTGTAAAGAAAATATAAGGGTTAATCACCGTAGGGTTATTAAACAGAGGCTCTGTGTAGAAAGAAGTGTTAGGCCAAATGTAACCAAATTTGGCTTGTATACTTTCCTGATCATAAAATTTCTATTATGCAAATAAAAAGTATAGTTTTAAAATTTCCCGATAGGCGAAAGTTTGGCGCTAATGTCGAAATAATTTATATCTATACTAATATTATAAAGAGGTAATGTTTGTAAGTACAGTATGTATGTATGTATGTAAGTTTCTTTGCAGCAGGTAATCTCCGAAACTACTTATCCGATTTCAAAAATTCTTTCACCAATATTTAGAATGGCACCTCAGGGTGGACATAGGCTGTATATTATTCCGTTAAACATTCATATAAATTAAAATATATAATCTAGGCTGAGGCTTTTATGTCCAACAGATGGCGCTACGAGTACGACGCCCTAAGTTTGCTTTTCTGTGAGGCATTACACTTTTCTGTGAAAATGAACTAAAGCAGATCATCTTCTATCTATTTATATAAATAAAAATGTAATGTTCGTTTGTTCCTACCGATTCCTTTGAAATTTTGACACAACGCTGTATTCGAATACGCACGTGTTTTTATATAATATACAGTACATGTCGAAATTAAACCCCACTGAAGGGAAATGGTTAGGTTTAAGGCTTACGGTAAAGAACTCTGCTTCTATTTATGCTATTTTAGATGCGGGTTTTTGCGTTTTTGATTGCGTTTTAATAGGGTACGTCAAGAGAATGTACACTAAAAAGAAATTTTTCGAAAAATTTCCTCCCCCACGGGGGAAGTGTTATACATTTATAGTAATTCAAACACAAATTATTATTGTATTTATTTTCAGGCACTTGGCAATTTTTATCATCAAATTTTATTTAGTTGATAAAAGTCAACTAAATAAAATTTGATGATAAAAATTGCCAAGTGCCTGAAAATAAATACAATAATAATTTGTGTTTGAATTACTACTAATAACTACTAGCACGGTTTCAAAGTACCAGAATGTTATACATTTATAATAGATACATTTTGAGCCACAACAACGCGTGGCGGGGTCTGCTAGTATTACCTAAATTGTAAAACAACTTTGAGGTTCACGAAAAGTTGCAGGCGTACTCAGTATAATGAAAAGTCATGGTATTTACATTACCTGATTGCATATTATTGTATATAGTACCTTTTTTTAATTTTGAGCACTTCATCCTTTAGACATTAGAAAGGCCTTTTAATTATACCCATCGGGCCTAAAATGGGCCCTATTGCATATGTTCGCTTTGCATGAAACAAGCATAAAATTAAGGAAATATTTAAGCCTTTCCTTGTCTCTTCAAGCATCTTGAAGTGCGTAATATGAAT